ACCAAAATGCCGCTGCCAGGTTGACAGCCCTCAGGATCAAGAAGTCCCTTGCCAATTATGGCGCCATGGAAGACTTGAAGTAAAACGCTTCAACGCTGCTGTTTGAAGAAGAATAAGAGCCAGCGATTGTTAACGCACTCTTAAGTATTCGCTCGCGTAAAGAGTGAGTGAGAGTGCGAACAATGCGATTCGGTTGATCTCGTAGGTGCGTTTGCGTCCGTGAAATGCAAGGACGACGGGACAAGGGGTACACGAGTTTGAAATTTATAGCGAAGACTGATAACCGAAGCAACGACGTTCCTTTTTATTCATCGAGAACATAATAATAATACGTGCACCTTGGTTTAGCCGTCGGTCCGAATTGTAAACGCGCAATGTTTAATTGGGATTTTGATCCATTTTATTTTTACCCATACAGGCGACTTTCTTTTTCTTTTCTTTTTTTTTTTTTTTTTTTTTTTTTTTTTTTTTTTTTCATTTATATTTCAAAGACGCGGCTACTCTATAAAGGCTTTTACGTTCAGTTTCATTAATAATCTTCGTTCCATATTCGATATATTGAACGGGTTATATGTAAAAAGTGATGCATAAAATAAGCTTATTCACACGATGTTCAAATGAATTTCTTTGAATCGCAATACCGACCTGACGAGTTATGATTAACTGCGTCCCGTACTTTATGCTCCTTCGTGTTTGTAAATTTAAGCATTTTTTTTTTATTAATTATCGCGTGTAGTCAGTGGACGTATTTTATAGTACGTATATATTACATTACGTAAATTCATTTTTTTTTTCATTTTTTTTCTTCGTATAATTACCTTGTAATTATAATCGTTTTAAATGAAAATATTTTTAATCTTAAGTTTTATGTAAGAACATTGAATACTATGAGCGTTGAGCTCCGTAAGTCGTACAGCGATCGGTAATTTCAGTGTAATAATAAGGAAGGAAGCCTAGATTTGCATTCCTATATGAGACATCGTAAATGTCATCACGGAAAGATGTTTGTTTCAAATATAATCTCATAATATCGCGATTTATTTAATTTTTTTATTCTCGCACGAAACAGTTTTGCAAGATTCGTCGCTCGAAAAATGAAATGAAGAAAAAAAATTATGATATTTTAAGTAATTTGATAAACTTATGAGAAATTAAATGGAAGGAGAAATAAATCAATAGTCAATTAGTTTACAGTACGAGAATTAGTTTACACTGGAATTAAAATAATTTATATAAGCCCATTATTATTTTTTATTAAAGGTAGTGAAGAAGCGCGCGAACGTTATACAAAAGAAGAATCGTACACGATATATTTTCCATATCAATGAGAATTTGATTTGAGCAAAGTACCATTCATAAAATACTTTACATACATAAAATAGCACCAAAGATTAATTTGAAAACAAAGACTTTTTAAAATGTGGATTAATTTACGTAAAGTCCTTTATTTGAATGTGTTAAATTGTTTATATGTCCTGTATTTAATGTTTTTATTACGAGCAGTTTAAGCACTGTTTGCTGTTTGCCATCAATTTTATTTGTTTTAACAGAAAATTGGACTTTCTGTACGTGTGATTAATATTATTTTCCAATTGTCATGTTAACATATTAGATGAAGAAAATAAAAATGGAAATCAAGGAAAATCCTTTTCCATGTGCTTTGCATCGTACGATCGTGTTAAGGCCGACAGGTGGATTTGCTCGTTTTGCCTATTATCAATTATATTAATTATTGAAAGCTCGGTTACAGTCATTGAAGTGAAATTTTTAGAACTCGAATGTGTATTACATGCAACTAGCTATACTATTTTATTTCGATGATTTTCATTATTATTTTATTTTATTTTTTTTTTTTTTATCGATTTTATCGATATTCGAGAAGCGAGATGCACATTTCCGAAGATAAGGAAAATCAGTGGATATAAAGTTGAATTACTTTCATACTACGAGTTTCCGATACAGTGTCAACCATTGAGAATACTCTATGACTCGAACGTAGGAGAAAAGCAATTACATGCGTAATTTTTACATAGTCTTTGTTGAAACTTTACTTGTTGTTTTTATATATATATATATATATATATGTGTATATATATAAACGTTTATTATATCGATGAAACAAGGCATCCAAAGTCTGGAAAAAAAAAAAAAAAAATGATGATCCGATACAGTCCTAGTTTGAGTTGTACATAATGCTCTTCGAAACAAGAAAACAAAACAAAATAAAACAAACAAAAAAAACAAAGAAAGAAAAACAAGAAAAAATAAAGAAATAGAAACCACGCGTTGTTCTGCACTGGGATATATTTTATATAATTAATCGAACTTATCATGATTTTCAATCTAAGTTTCGCTGTGTAGCAATGAAAATTTTGTATTCTGTTGTCGAATATATGAAAAATTTAAGCTGTGCAAAATTTGCCTTTTGATTGAAGAAGATCCGTCGACGAAAATTCGTTCGCGACAGTATACATTTGTAGAATAAACTCATTTTTGTAAAGATGTTATCGTAAATTTTCCCTTCGAATAATACAGGAAGGCTGAAATTGACAGGTGCTAAGGAAAGTGTATAAAAAAATCTCGTTTTACTGTCAACGTAAAAGTTCGTAAGGTTACAATATTTCATGAAATATTTAAATGATAATTCGGCGAGAGAAATTAAAATTGTAATAAAGCTTCGGTGCGTATAGGACTCTCGAATGCATAATGTATTTTTATAACCTTTTTTTAAGCAATTTTTTCGTTTTAACGTGACGTAGGGCTTGAAAGGTGTGAAAGATGAAAATTTAAGGAAAAGGAAATCATTGTTCCCTAAGGGCCCAGTTGTATTTTTTCAATGTCCAGAAGCTGCATATTTCGCGGATTACAATTCAACTCAAAGACTGAACAGTATAATGTTTCGTATAATTAGATACGTAATCGTTATAAAGAGTAGTTTAATGAACAAACGTTGAAGCAATGATTATGAGATATAGATTTCTCAGGAACCAAGTGACTGGTGAATTGGAATTAATTTCCATTTTTTATTCTTCTTTTGTAGGTGTATCAACGATAAGCGTAAAAGGACGCAATTGAACCCCATTCGTGTACGTTGATTCGACAATTAATATTAATAACGTATTAATGATACATTAAGGAAGTCATAAATTAGTCTATTTAATAATAAATCCGGTAGGGAAAGAGAAAAAATAATAAAGAAGAAAATTAAACGTAAAAAAATACTATCATCTGCTTTTCAAAGTAATCTATGCACTTCTAGATTTGTTATAATAAGACGTTTGTTCTTCATATTTCATACATTCCTATTAAATGTGTAGGTTAATTTTAATACATAATAATTAACGAGTAAATAATTTATTGCGCTGCAGTCAGCTTTTAGTAAAGTTTAAGAATAGCTCATTATAGGATGAATCCGCGATGTTCCATATTCTACGGTCAAGCAAATTTGATACGAATAGTTTCAGTATACTTAGATTTTATATAAATACGTAATTTTTCTTTTTCTTTTTTTTTTTCTTTTTTTTTTCTCTTTTTTTTAAGATCCACAAGACTTTCCGAAAATCCGCTCCAAGATAGACGGATTTTTTTAACATACTTCTAGTACAATTTTGTGCCAATACCCGACAGAAAGTTAACTAAAGCGGGAGACCAGATATAAAGAAAAAAAAAACTTCACTTTACATATCCTCTGTAACGGACATAACAGTTTTTATTTTAAAATTACGTGAAGAGAAATTAAACTGACTTTTTACAAATAACAAATACAACTGGGCTTTAACATCGTGTAGAATTATAAAAAAAAAAAAAAAAAAAAAAAAAAAAAAAAAAATCACAACAAAAAACAAAAACAGAAAAGGAAAAGGAGAAAAAATGTGGTTCGAATAATCGAATAATGGAAAAATAATCTTATTTAATAATCTTGAAAGCTGACAACTACTGTCAAGTACATTTGAAAATCTTAACAATATATCTCCTGTATTGCCTCCTTTTTTTCTTGCTGTGCTTAATTATTAAGCCCGAGTTGTACAAAGTATCATAGAGCGTTGCGTAATTTTAAAAAT